AAATAAGTGTAATAAAATATATTTATAATTAAACATTTAAATGAACAACATGATATATACATCAATATGTTTCTGAGACTAGGTTTATTTGGTGGATCACAGATGGAATCCTTATATATATGTATAACGCTTGATTTGAATTCATAACACTAATTGAGTGGTTACACAAATCTTGACGAGTAACATATAATATTAAGGTTAATATTAATAAAAATACTTTTAATAGAAATTCAATTGGACAAACCAAGAATTAATGTTAATATTAGTAAAAATACATTTAATAGAAATTCGATTATATGAATTAAGAAATTCAATTGGACAAACCAATAATAAAAGATTTTTGAAAAGTGATAACCAATAATAAATAGATTAGTTATCAGGTTTAAGAAAAATGAACTGTGATTAATGTAACTCTAATAAAAAATTAATAGAAAAATTTATAAACAAAAATCTAAATATGATTGTTTAAATAAATATGTTATCGCATTTAATGTTTTTCTGATCTATCAAATACCGATATCAAATATGCAATTATCTTCCAAAGATATTTACATCTATTCAAAATTTAACAACACTCGACCACCATAGCAAAAGAACCATAGCAAAACAGTATTGTTCTACAGCGAGGAAATTTTGTATACAATTTAATTCAGATTTTTCTAGCCGTTCAGTTGAATTGGGCACAAAACAATTATCAACGCAACGCACTCCCCCAAAATGTGTAACAGTGCTGATCATAGTCATAACAAAAAAATAATAATTACGGGCTATCTTGATGCGAAACAACGACAGCAGACCCATTACTACTGGGCTGGGCCTGGTTGTTTGTTTCCTCAAAAGTTTTGACAAGGTCAGGGTCCACATTCTCCTGGGGCTCCCAAGTGGGCTCCTCTAAATCGGCCCATTTAACTAAAAACTCCGGCGTCCCTTCATCAGCGATTCTTTTCGCGAGCACCGCCTCGGCCACGGCGTATTCAAGGCCAGCCTCGTAGTCTCTTACAAGATCCTCCGCCACAAACTTCGCCTTCACCCACTCATTCGCACCACCGTCCTTCCACCGCACAAGGTACTCCAAATTCTCTCCTTTCCCTCTCCGTTCAAGAATCTCCTCCACCTCTGCGTACTCGAACACAGCCCCTTCCAAAACCCTAACCACTCCCTCAAGCCCAATCCTGCGCCCGAACTGCAACGGATTCCCCTTCGGCGTCGCCTTCAGAATCTCCCGCGCCAGATCCAACGCCGTTCTTCCACGGTCATCCGCCACCTCAGGATCCGCGCCCAGATCCAGCAGCACCTTCGCAACACCGGGCCTCACGTACCCCGCCGCCATGTGCAGCGCAGCGAGACCGCCGCTGCGGTCGCGGTGGTCCAGGTTCGCGCCAGCTTCCGCCAGCAGTTTCACGCAAGGTTCCGAGCCAAGTCCCGCTACGAAGAGGAGCGCGGTACGACCTTCGGCGTCCACAGCATCGACATCGCGGCCGTCGCCGGATTCGAGGAGGTTCCTCAGCGCGGGCTCATCGGCCTTCTTCGCGGCGGTCCACCACGGGGTTTCGTACTCGGCGACGACGTCTTTGGCTATAAAGTCTGCGGGAACCCAAGACGGCTCGTGGCCGTCTTTCCACTCGATGAGGTACTCCATTCCGGCGGCGGCGTCGAGGGCTCTGCTGCCGATGATGCCTTTGACTTCACCATAGGACTCGTCTTCGGTGTCTTTGGAAGCTGCTTGTTGTTGGTTTTGGAGTGCGGCGGTGACGAGGCGGAAGCGCGTGGGGTTTTGGCGGATGGGAAGAAATGGTTGTTGTTTAAGGAAGTGTTTGGGGTTTGAAGAGAATTTAGTTTTGAAGTGGGAATGAGAAGCTGGTTTGGGGACGAAAATAGCTTCCATTAATAATCTGGTGTAATGGTTTTGCTATGGTGTGTTTGGAAGGGATGAAGATGAACATGTGGCAGTGGGAGTGACAGTGGCGGAGTGAAATGGGGACTTACTGGATAAGGAACCACATCCATGTTTTGGCTGCCATTGGATTTCAACAAATCATAACTGCCAAACTGGACTATCTTTTCTTTTTCTTTTCCTGCGCAATTTTTTCTTCTAATTTATTTTACACCATTGCTGCCAATAAATTCAAAAAAACTCCAGCCACAAATTTTTGTGGTTCCTCATGTTTCTCCAACGTACTTCAGAAAATTTTGTCTCTTTACTTGGAGCATTTTTTGTGCAATAAATCAAGAAAACTTACTAAGCTTAAATTAAAATAAAAAATCACTTATATAGTATCTAAGAAAATCCACAGAATATTGGACATAGTATTTTTTTTATAATGAAAAAATAAAATAAAAATCAGTGACTTTATAGAATCTTATTTCACATAATTGGAAAAGTGATTTTCTCATTACTTCCTTCGTAAAAGTTGATGTTCCTACAATCAAAACCTCTAAAACATTTTAAGATTACTCTATTTGATAATTTAATTCTAATATTAAACCAGTTTAATCAATCGGTCCTCAAGACACTGAGACACTAACCCCTTTTTTAGCTAATGGCAGCGAATCTTTTAAGCTCGGTTTCAGAATTAATATTTTTAAGATGATTTATAAGTTTCAATGGCGAAATTACATTTCTTTAACATAATTTAATTTCAGAATACAATAAACAAATTAGGATGCTGCTCCCTCCACCACCACCGTATACTTCCTCCACCTCCCCATATTATTTTAAATACAATTATATTCTTTTAAAAAGATTTTTACTTTTATTCTATTTTAAATAATTTAAAACTCTAATTTACTTTCCCAACACCCACCAGCGGATCTCTCTTCTCCTTTTCCATTTTTGTTTCACCTCCCCATCTCCCCATCTCTTCATCTCTTGAGTGCCTCTAAATATACATGTCTGCAATGTGTCAATCAAGATATCAATGCTGCAATTATATTGACAGGCTTGTAATCTTCCTTTTTGAGATAGAGGCCAAACGGTGGATTGTTTTTAATAAATGCAGATTAAATGACTTTGTAATTTTGATATGGTTCCATTCATTTTTACTATCATCTTCTGAAAGTTTTCATATAAAGACAAACATTTAGCTGTCTGCATACTTCTAACACCAAAAAATATGTTAATTCTATAGTTTCATCCAACAATCACAATTCAAACTATCTTTATGGTTGGAGGAATTCTTACTTGAGCCATAATCAGTTTCTCTACAAAAGAGTTCTTTTGTCAATGAAGAAAACCAATACAAACAAACCCTTTAATAATAATGGAACAAAACCAATGCTTCTGGTGTAGTTCAGTATTCTGCGTGTGGACAACTTACTTGAATACATGAATTTCAAATTCCCATATCTCTGATAGGTTAGGCATGGAATCACTGATAGAAAGAGAGAGAGAATAGTATTGTGTGAAAAAATTGTCAAAGTAGTGTAGTAGTGAGTTAGCCAATTTTATAATTTTATTTGTAAAGTACGCTAGGCATAGTTGGACGGATGTGACATCCGTGTATCCTTGATTTTTAAACGGACGGATATCAACATTCGTTTATCCTTCAACGGATGTTGAAATCCGTGCACAAATGTTGATATTCAATTTAAAATTCAACGTATATTCATATCTGTTTAAATATTAGTTAAGGATAAAATGGGAATGGGGAAGTGCAATGAGCAGTGTGTGTGTGGTGGTGGGAGTAACCCCCAACAAATTATATTCCAAAAACGGAAGAATTGGAGGAGATTGTGTGCGGTCAGTATTATTCATCGATAAGAAAATAATGCATAATTTAATTCCCAAATCAGGGCCCATTGTTAAGCCCGCATGGTGCACTGCACTTTTTTTTTCTCAAGTCGGGCTTTGCTCTACTACTGGATTGGGCTTTCATTATTCTTTTTTGCTGGTTCTTCTGAGTACTAAACATCGGACAGAAGAATAAGATACATTAATCTATATATATTATTTGAGTGTGAATGTGTAATTTTTGCATTTGGAAGGTATCAATTACAAGCATAGTTTAAAATTTTCTTAAAATTAAATAATTTGGTTTTTTCTTTCCTTTAATACTAACGTGTTCGTTGAAATTAGACAAAAAGTCATTAAATTTCCAAAAACCGTAAAAGAAAACGATCTCTTAAGCTTTTAATCGAAACTAAAATTTCATACAGATAAAACTAAGAGAACCAAATCTAAATTGAAGTAAATACAAAAACAACAATGGTGGAAATCGAAATATTCGAGAAGCCATCAACATTACGTATACGCACACTTGGCTTTCCTTGCACCAGCTCATACGCTTCAATCAAGGTGGAAAACAAAACTCTCAAATTCATTCATCATTCAAATGTCATGACTCCTAACAATAAACTACGTCAACTGACACGTCGTTTGTCAATGTTGGAGCAATATTTGCATGTGACTAGTTTGAAAACTAACCAAAGATATTACAGAAAACCAGTATGAAATGAAATAAAACCTTAGAATAATCGAATTAAATTGTGTATACGAGTAAATATAATTGTACACCTAATAGTCAAATCCACCAGGGTGTCATGAGGAAGTCAACAATAATGAAAATTTGATCCATACAGATAAAGGAGTGTAGAATACATTATTGTTATAAGAGGATGAATGAAAGAAGCAATACCAAAAACCGAAAACCGAAACATCTAACACAGAATGTCCCAAAAACGACAAAGGTACCATAATTGTTTCCGCGTACAAATATCATTGTTTGGGGAAATTTAATTATGATTAGAATAGCGCGTGTCACGTCAGAATTCGCGGCCGCTTCACTGCAAATGCTAACTCAATGATACTAATATAACCACACGCCTTCACCGCCAAACTTTCTTATTCCCTTTTCCCACCGTTTTCACTCGTGCCAATCCAACAACCATTTCCATTCGCTACTACTTTTTTTTTTTTTAATTTTTTTCTATTACAATGTTAAAATAGTTTAGTTACCTTAACTCCTGTTATTGTCCTCTTATGTTATAAATACAGCACAAGCCCTGTTTCTTGCCACTTCGATCATAACATCAAAACCTCTCTCTACACTTGTCTCTCTTCTCTCTCTCTCTCTCTGTCATAAGCCATTTTCCTAACATGAAGCTCATGAATAAACCATCACAGCTACGTGCTTTATCCTGTTTCTGTTCCATTCTGCTGCTTTTGGAATTCGTTTTCGTTGCTGCGGAAGATCCTTATAGATTCTTCGACTGGACCGTCACCTACGGTGACATTTATCCTCTAGGGATTAAACAGCAGGTTCGTGATTTTTTTTTTAATTTGGTGCATTTTGTTGTATGTTCTCGTTCTTAATGTTTGGTTGGAATGTGTATTGCAGGGTATTTTGATCAATGGCCAATTCCCAGGCCCTGAAATCTATTCTGTTACCAATGACAATTTGATCATTAACGTACGCAATAACTTGACCGAGCCGTTTCTTCTTTCATGGTAACCCCTCTTTTTTTTTTTCATTAAAAAAATATATATTTTGACATATATAAAATTTTTACATTTATTTTTTATTATTCTTTTTATTTTTTTTATGATTATTTCACTCTTATACAAATATGTTAAATGTGAAATGAACGTAAAAATGTATTATCTAATCATTCCTCCTTTCGTTCTCTTAATGGTTTCTCAAAATTTCAATGCACTTTCTTAATAAACATAGAATGTTACAAATGTAGTTCAACAAGAGGTTTTGTTAAAAACAAGGTTATTAAAAAGGCGGCCACTTCTTAAAGCGTAATCCAACTGGCAGAGTGGTGCACTTTTTAACTAAAGCATCGCTTGCTTCGTACAAAACCCTAAAAATGTCTTGTTCTGATTTACCTTGTTTGGAAAAACGCGTTCGTAGCTGTGTTTTTTAAACTCCACTCACTTGTTCGGTTATGGAAGCTAATAATTNCTGGATAAGGAACCACATCCATGTTTTGGCTGCCATTGGATTTCAACAAATCATAACTGCCAAACTGGACTATCTTTTCTTTTTCTTTTCCTGCGCAATTTTTTCTTCTAATTTATTTTACACCATTGCTGCCAATAAATTCAAAAAAACTCCAGCCACAAATTTTTGTGGTTCCTCATGTTTCTCCAACGTACTTCAGAAAATTTTGTCTCTTTACTTGGAGCATTTTTTGTGCAATAAATCAAGAAAACTTACTAAGCTTAAATTAAAATAAAAAATCACTTATATAGTATCTAAGAAAATCCACAGAATATTGGACATAGTATTTTTTTTATAATGAAAAAATAAAATAAAAATCAGTGACTTTATAGAATCTTATTTCACATAATTGGAAAAGTGATTTTCTCATTACTTCCTTCGTAAAAGTTGATGTTCCTACAATCAAAACCTCTAAAACATTTTAAGATTACTCTATTTGATAATTTAATTCTAATATTAAACCAGTTTAATCAATCGGTCCTCAAGACACTGAGACACTAACCCCTTTTTTAGCTAATGGCAGCGAATCTTTTAAGCTCGGTTTCAGAATTAATATTTTTAAGATGATTTATAAGTTTCAATGGCGAAATTACATTTCTTTAACATAATTTAATTTCAGAATAAAATAAACAAATTAGGATGCTACTCCCTCCACCAACACAGTATACTTCCTCCACCTCCCCAAATTATTTTAAATACAATTATATACTTTTAAAAAGATTTTTACTTTTATTCTATTTTAAATAATTTAAAACTCTAATTTACTTTCCCAACACCCACCAGCGGATATCTCTTATCCTTTTCCATTTTTGTTTCACCTCCCCATCTCCCCATCTCTTCATCTCTTGAGTGCCTCTAAATATACATGTCTGCAATGTGTCAATCAAGATATCAATGCTGCAATTATATTGACAGGCTTGTAATCTTCCTTTTTGAGATAGAGGCCAAACGGTGGATTGTTTTTAATAAATGCAGATTAAATGACTTTGTAATTTTGATATGGTTCCATTCATTTTTACTATCATCTTCTGAAAGTTTTCATATAAAGACAAACATTTAGCTGTCTGCATACTTCTAACACCAAAAAATATGTTAATTCTATAGTTTCATCCAACAATCACAATTCAAAATATCTTTATGGTTGGAGGAATTCTTACTTGAGCCATAATCAATTTCTCTACAAAAGAGTTCTTTTGTCAATGAAGAAAACCAATACAAACAAACCCTTTAATAATAATGGAACAAAACCAATGCTTCTGGTGTAGTTCAGTATTCTGCGTGTGGACAACTTACTTGAATACATGAATTTCAAATTCCCATATCTCTGATAGGTTAGGCATGGAATCACTGATAGAAAGAGAGAGAGAATAGTATTGTGTGAAAAAATTGTCAAAGTAGTGTAGTAGTGAGTTAGCCAATTTTATAATTTTATTTGTAAAGTACGCTAGGCATAGTTGGACGGATGTGACATCCGTGTATCCTTGATTTTTAAACGGACGGATATCAACATTCGTTTATCCTTCAACGGATGTTGAAATCAGTGCACAAATGTTGATATTCAATTTAAAATTCAACGTATATTCATATCTGTTTAAATATTAGTTAAGGATAAAATGGGAATGGGGAAGTGCAATGAGCAGTGTGTGTGTGGTGGTGGTGGGAGTAACCCCCAACAAATTATATTCCAAAAACGGAAGAATTGGAGGAGATTGTGTGCGGTCAGTATTATTCATCGATAAGAAAATAATGCATAATTTAATTCCCAAATCAGGGCCCATTGTTAAGCCCGCATGGTGCACTGCACTTTTTTTTTCTCAAGTCGGGCTTTGCTCTACTACTGGATTGGGCTTTCATTATTCTTTTTTGCTGGTTCTTCTGAGTACTAAACATCGGACAGAAGAATAAGATACATTAATCTATATATATTATTTGAGTGTGAATGTGTAATTTTTGCATTTGGAAGGTATCAATTACAAGCATAGTTTAAAATTTTCTTAAAATTAAATAATTTGGTTTTTTCTTTCCTTTAATACTAACGTGTTCGTTGAAATTAGACAAAAAGTCATTAAATTTCCAAAAACCGTAAAAGAAAACGATCTCTTAAGCTTTTAATCGAAACTAAAATTTCATACAGATAAAACTAAGAGAACCAAATCTAAATTGAAGTAAATACAAAAACAACAATGGTGGAAATCGAAATATTCGAGAAGCCATCAACATTACGTATACGCACACTTGGCTTTCCTTGCACCAGCTCATACGCTTCAATCAAGGTGGAAAACAAAACTCTCAAATTCATTCATCATTCAAATGTCATGACTCCTAACAATAAACTACGTCAACTGACACGTCGTTTGTCAATGTTGGAGCAATATTTGCATGTGACTAGTTTGAAAACTAACCAAAGATATTACAGAAAACCAGTATGAAATGAAATAAAACCTTAGAATAATCGAATTAAATTGTGTATACGAGTAAATATAATTGTACACCTAATAGTCAAATCCACCAGGGTGTCATGAGGAAGTCAACAATAATGAAAATTTGATCCATACAGATAAAGGAGTGTAGAATACATTATTGTTATAAGAGGATGAATGAAAGAAGCAATACCAAAAACCGAAAACCGAAACATCTAACACAGAATGTCCCAAAAACGACAAAGGTACCATAATTGTTTCCGCGTACAAATATCATTGTTTGGGGAAATTTAATTATGATTAGAATAGCGCGTGTCACGTCAGAATTCGCGGCCGCTTCACTGCAAATGCTAACTCAATGATACTAATATAACCACACGCCTTCACCGCCAAACTTTCTTATTCCCTTTTCCCACCGTTTTCACTCGTGCCAATCCAACAACCATTTCCATTCGCTACTACTTTTTTTTTTTTTAATTTTTTTCTATTACAATGTTAAAATAGTTTAGTTACCTTAACTCCTGTTATTGTCCTCTTATGTTATAAATACAGCACAAGCCCTGTTTCTTGCCACTTCGATCATAACATCAAAACCTCTCTCTACACTTGTCTCTCTTCTCTCTCTCTCTCTCTGTCATAAGCCATTTTCCTAACATGAAGCTCATGAATAAACCATCACAGCTACGTGCTTTATCCTGTTTCTGTTCCATTCTGCTGCTTTTGGAATTCGTTTTCGTTGCTGCGGAAGATCCTTATAGATTCTTCGACTGGACCGTCACCTACGGTGACATTTATCCTCTAGGGATTAAACAGCAGGTTCGTGATTTTTTTTTTAATTTGGTGCATTTTGTTGTATGTTCTCGTTCTTAATGTTTGGTTGGAATGTGTATTGCAGGGTATTTTGATCAATGGCCAATTCCCAGGCCCTGAAATCTATTCTGTTACCAATGACAATTTGATCATTAACGTACGCAATAACTTGACCGAGCCGTTTCTTCTTTCATGGTAACCCCTCTTTTTTTTTTTCATTAAAAAAATATATATTTTGACATATATAAAATTTTTACATTTATTTTTTATTATTCTTTTTATTTTTTTTATGATTATTTCACTCTTATACAAATATGTTAAATGTGAAATGAACGT